AAGTAATTTTAAAAAGACCAATAGAACAACTTAGGCAAAAATGACTCCTCACTGTGATCCTACAAACAGGAGACCAAGAAATAGTCCCAGGAAAAGAGGGAAGGAAGACCTTCAAGCAACTGCTTTACCAAGAAGACTGAGCTCTTTGGAAGTCATCCATTTCTGAGCTGGCACTGAGGTTCACACCCTATAATTCCAGCAACTTGAGAGGCTGAGGCAGGAGGACTACAAGTTCAACCAGGCAACCTAGCAAGACCCTGTTTTTAAAAAAGAGAGAGAGAGATGAGGGAGTAGCTCAGGGTACAGCACCCCTGGGTTCAATCCCAATATCAAGTTTGAGAGAGGAAACTTGGTTTGTCTTCTCAAAGACCAGTGTCATTCTTGGTGTGTAGTTTTCAACTGCAAAACAACTTTCTTGTCGTCACTAAAAGCTGTAACTTTTTTTTTCAAACTACAAAGTGAAGGTCAAAACAATACCAAAGTGGGTGAGCATGCTTTTCTCCAGAAATGTCTTTTTAAACGGGGGCAGGAGAAGAGATATTCAAGTAAAGTGGTTCTTTTTTTCATCCCACAGTACTTTAATTATGGTAACAGTTTGAAAATTCCTAACACCTTTCATGTGAAGTGATCAAAAGCAATCTTATCGCAGTCATGGTTTTATTTATATGCAGAAAATCTCTTCGGATTTCAGTAAAGAGGTGAGATTTATTATATATTTGCATCAAAGCTACCAACTCATATACCTGACAGAAAGTCATATTTTACCCAAAAATGATGCCTTAAAATTTTACTGTCATAAGGTCTCCAGTCCCTCGTTGTGTTTTAGCGTTCCTGCCAAGCTTGCCGAGAGGGAAGGAGCCTTGAACTTTCCTGACCCTATTGTGTCAAACACATCTCTTGTGCTTCGAACCTTGTCTCAGTTCTTTTTGACAGTCAGGTCTGAGGTTTAAGAAATTCTCACAGGAAAACCCCCAAAACATGGAGCATACCTTCCACTTACATCTGGAGTCAGACTCTAGAGAGTGCCCTCTCAGACCAGCGGCCAGCTTCTCCTGACCAAGAGGCTGGCTCTCCTGGTCCCAGGCTCTCCTTTTTCCTTACTTGATTCCTCTCTTGCATGTTAGGAACCCCTCTCCCTTCTGGTTCTCAAAGTCCTTGGACGGGCTGTCCCTGAAATCCCTAGAACCCCATACACAGTTCTTCAACCAAACTGGCCTCTCCAGCAGGGCTCAGCTGATGGTGACCCATACCTTCAAGCCCCAGTTTGTGAATGTCTTCACTTCTAAGGAATATGTATGTGTTTAAATATTGAAGCCCAGTTGAATCTGAATCTCTGGGGGTAAGGCCCAGAGATGTGTCCAAGATAATTTATCATTCAGATAAATTCAGTCCAGATAATTTTGATCTGCAGCTGGAGTTCAGAACCACTGGTGATGATGACCTTTATAGTTCTATCATCTTGTACATTTCCATGATTTAGGGGGGTGCTGATAGATTACTAGGGTACATGTACCATCTCCTATTCCTTCCACTGACAGGCACCCCGGAAGCATGATGGCTGATCCTAGAACAGCAGAGACCTACATCAATGGTTTAGCGGTGGCTGGCTAAGCACCATGGTGACGTTACAGCAATCTCTGGGCTGAATGGGAAAGAGAGCTGAGATCAATCAGCAGTGTCACCATGAGCAATGGGGAGAGACAGGCACTGGACATCTTCCCTGACCTGTCCTAATCCAAAAAGAAGATCATACGGGAGACATCTCAGACACTGATACAGAAAGGTTACTATTCTTTGTTTCAGGTGTGTATTGCTGTATAACTAAACATTCTAAATCATAGTCGATCAAAACAATCACCATTAACTCATGATGGTGTAATTTGGACAGGAATTTTTGAAAAACAGCTCATCTCTTTCCAAGTAGTGTTAAGGCAGGGATTTTTTGTGATCAACTCTGAAGGATCCAAGATGACTTCACACCCATGTCTGTCGCCTGGGTTGGGGGGAAGCTGGAATGGCAGGTGAGAGGGTTGGGAATATGCAGCAAGTGAGTCAAACTTCCTTACTTGATGCCCCAAGGCTCTGAGAGAAAGTGGGAGCTGTTAGACCACTTACGGGTCTCTGAGAATCAAAGTTCCCTTCTCCAAAGCAAGTCACAAGGCCAGCCAGGCTTGAGAGGAGGAGAAATAGATTCCACTTCTGGATGGAAGGCCCAACACACATGTGTGTATCAGCTTATTGTTGTGAGAAAATACCTGAAAAAATCAACTTAAAGAAGAAGAGCTTTGCTTTGGCTCATAGTTTTAGAGGTTTCGCTCTAGGGCCGCTGGGCTCCACCGTTTCTGGGCCTGTGGTGAGGCCGAATATCAGGGCAGAAGGACATGGTGGAAGAAAGTTCATCATCTCCTGCTGGCTGGGAAGCAGAGAGAAAGAGGAAGGGGCTGGGGACAAAGATAAAGCTCCCAGGGAATACCCCCAAAGACCCACTTCCTCCATCAAGTACATGGGGAATCCATTGATGAGGTTAGGGCCTTCGTGAGCCAGTCGCCTTCCAAGGGCCTACCTCTGAGCACTGCCTGAGGACAAAGCCTCAACACATGAATTTTGGGGGGGACATTTCAGATCCAAACCATAACAGTACACATCCAGGGACGGGGGAGATTGTTTGTAGCCATCTTGGCAGACAATTCCCCATATCCCTTACTCAGCCCATCTGATGATCCTATTGTGCATCTTTTCACCTGAAAATCATATTATGAAAATGTTGAAGTGGAAAAGTTGATATTCCTGGTTATCCATCCCTAATTTAAATGATTTAAGTTACTAATATAATCACACATACACATACAATTCACAAATACCTATATTTATATCATTGCCTTATTTGATATCTAAATGTTGCCAATTAGTATCATTTATTAGACTATGGCTTGTACCAGTAACCATCAGTACGAGATGATATTTTCAAGTTTTAGCCCTGTAATCTCTTGGAGGGATTGTATTTTGTTGTATATCAGAATATGATTGGAAATAGGAAATTAAGAATACAATAGGAAAATAGTTTACCTTCATGGTACTTTTACCCTGAACCAAAATTGGCAGACACAGTCTCTTGGGTATAAGTTTCAGGATGTAATGCACAGGAATGAGGTCAAGGGCCATGAGTCCAACTAGTGCCCTAAAACTTACTTCTTCCAGGAAATCACAACCCCAACCTAACTTTGACCTTCCCCTCATGATGCCTATCCTTAGCTTGTCTGTTTCTTTCTTGGAGGGCTCTACTTACTTTTCTAAATCATGTAGTTTGTCACACCATATAAACCCAAGGAGCATATGTCCCACATATGTCCCCCCCCAAAACTCATGGGAGATGAGGAAATTATTTTTTAAAATTACTCTTCAGATAGAACCCAGATTGGACTCTGTTCTTGAAGCCATGTCTAGGACAGTGTGATTAGGACTCCAAGAGGAAATATTTATTATCAATTGAATAGCACTTGTTTTCATATAGTACTTCTGCTGGTTAAAATCCCAGGACAACTTTGCTATTAAAACAAAAACAAGACCTTAGTGTTTTTAAAACCACAAGACAATTCACATGAAGACCAGAGAGGTAGTGTGAATAAGCTGCTTGTCCTGTGAAGATTACAGGTGGGGAGGGGGAATGGCATGAATGATGTCACAGAAGTGACTGTGTAGATTATTCCAGTCATTTATTCAACAAGCACTTATGGAGCATTTAATATGATCCTGACATGATGTTAAGCACTGAGAAAATGGGATTCCACTACAGCTCTTACAGTCTGAGTAAGGGAGACAGATATATAATCCATTATACTGCACACTATATATTGTTTCCCTGCATACTATATATTATAATACTATAATATTATAGTATTATTTTAGTACTATATATCAAGTACTAACATATATTAATATTTGTAATATTAACAACCAAATATTTAGGTAGCACTTATGAATCAGACATTGCTCTAAATTCTTTAACTCATGCTAACTCACTTCTCAGAATAATCCTATGGTATCAATTCTTTTATTATCTCCCTTTTATCACTGTGGATCCTGAGGCACGGAGAGGCCCTGTGCTCTGCCCAAGACAAATACCCATAAGTGGCAGAGCTGGGATTTACACCAAAGAGGCTGGCTCTAGTGATCACTGTCATTACCACCAAGCCGAGGAGACTGTGACTGAGCTGTCTGGGGGAGCTGGGAAGGGTCTTAATGAGGCAATGATGCTGCCATATTAAAGGACAGGAAGAGATCCCCAAATGAGAGAAGACCTTTGCAAACTGGAGGACAATCTCGTGGGCAAGGAGTGCTTGGGGACTGATGAGAAGGCTGGGAGGCTGTCCCCTGGGGTATGACAGTGGGATGGGGTGAGGGAAGCACTGATGATGGTAAGCCCCTGTACTCTGACCATGCCTGGGTTCCCCAGTGGCTTCATTTAGGGACAGCCAGCTTCCCCACATCCCCTGTTCAGAGACCAGGACGCTAAATCAGAATTCAATCCTTACAAATGACAAGCTGGCATCTGGGAAAGAGATAGAAAATAACGGTCATGAAATCTACATGCATGGTTTTAGTTTTCAGAGCCCAATAGCACACTTTCTCTTGGCTACACTTCATGTTTTACAGTTGAGAGAAGAGATAGAAAAAAAAAAAGTGTTACCCAGTAAATAAGTACAGAGACAGTCCTCAGACCCAGGCTTTGGATTCTTTATCCAATGTCCACTGAGACCAACACAGTTTGTTGCCATCACTGGACATAAAAATTCTCCAAGTGTCCACTCTGCCGATTCTGGGTGCAGAGGGCCACTGTCTCATCAGAAGGAGAGTGAAGGACATATACAGCACTCAAACTCCAGAGGAGGCAAAGGTGCCTGTGATGAAAATGACATTGGAGTGAGAGCCAGGGAACTTAAACTTAAGTCTCATCATTATCACCAAGTCACAATGTGACCTGCAGGCCTTGGTGTGCTCACCTGTAAAACAAAGGCAAATAATTTCCAAAGGGCTTGTCCGGCTTGATCTTTCTCCACCTCCATCACTGTCTGCACATAGCTTAATTATTTTAGTCAACTGCTGGTTTTGGCCATCGGTAAGTGCCCAGTTCCATTCAAAACAGAGTTGAGTTGACAGACTGTGCCATTACAGCTGGAAGCACTGCGTCTGGGCCTCGGCTCAGGCTGACTGTATTCCAACTGAGTTCCCTTCAGCTGAAGCTAACCTTGAAGTGCCCAGCGTTCCCATGGCCCCCTGCGGGATGTGCTTTGGAACCTGAAATGAGATACGTGTCTCCCTATTAATATCCTCACGCTGTCTGAATGCATTTTAAAAGCTCCCTGTGCTTGGCAACCTGTGGGCCTGTCTTTGTTATTGTTGGTTGGAGCCTTACATACTTGACTTAAAAATTAGCACCAAATGCAGGGTTATCTGATCAGGAAAGCATGGAATAGAAGGAATGGGTAAATTTCCTTTGCAAAACAGACATCCTTGGATGTGTTTCTTTCCTGCTGGCATGAAATGAATGGCAGCCACTGGTTCTCACTAGGCAAAGTGAGTGGCAATGAGGTCACAGGGAGAGCAGAGGGCATCACAAAGATGACAACACAGACTGAGCCTACTGCCAGAGGAAAGGGGCGTAGGACGAAGGCCATGTTAACTGGATTCCCTAACCCACTCCTGTGCCTCTACATTCCTTATTTCATTCAATCACTACAGCTCTGGGGAGGTGACCAGGGCATAGGTAATTATCTCCAGTGACAGGAAGCTGAAGTTAGTGACTGGCAAAGGTAAAACGGAAAGACAGGACTGAACCTCAGCTTTCCTAACCTCTAGCCTAGTGATCTCTCCTCTGCACAAACTGCCACAAACACCTGGATTTACATGTGACCTTCATGAGGGCAGAGACTGCCCTCATTGTTGTGTCCTTGGGGAGCAGCATGAAAATTCAAGAAATACTGAATTTCTTGAAGTCTAACCTAATTAATGAAGGATATTGGTCTTTATCAATTGACTCAAGTAGGGACAGAACAAAGTCCAAGTCCTGACAGTGCCTAAAGCCTTTGCAATCTGTCCCCTGTTTTGTCTCCAACTCCACTTCCCTCTACAATGCTCCTTTCACTTTGGCCATTCTGCCTTCTTGCTTTTCCTTAAACATGCCAGACATACCTCTAAGGGCCTTTGCACTGGCTGTACCTTCTCTCTGGAACACCCTTCCCCAAATACTCTTATAGCCAACTTGCTCATCTTTCTAAGTCTGCATTCAGATATTACCTCTCCACAACGCCTGCCCCAAACATCCTATTTGAACATGGAACCCATCTTTCACTCCAGTGTTTCCAAATACTCTTCTCCTGCTCTGTTCTTTCCTATGGCATGTTTTACCTTCTGCATATATTTATGTTTTATTGTTATTTATTGTCTACACCTATTAGAATGTAAGCTCTATGAAAACAGGGATTTTTAATTAATTGATATATCTCAAGGGCCTAGAACAGTGTCTGACACATAATAGACTCAATAAATAGGATTGAATGAACAAGTGAATGAATGGATGGAAGAATAGATTTGCAAAGTCACAACATACTTGGATTTAGTGGAGAAGTTTCCTATCCAAGGTACCTAAGCGAAACTGATATAATCAGCTCTCTAATTGGTACAACAGGTTTATCAGGGAGCAGGGATTCTGTTTCCTTTTTCCAGAGGAGAAGAAGAAAATGTTCTAGAATATTCTCCCACCAGACTTGGGCTCTTTGATGCTAGATGGGGTTCTTGCAAATAGGAATAGGGAGGAAGATGGAAAAAACAGGAAAACTCATCCCTCATGGTAAAGGTTCAGAGGGGCTCTCTCCTGCAGAACCACAATTGCTACATATGGAAGTTCTAGATGTTGAGAAGGGGTCAGGATGTGGCACCAGAGCCACTGAAAGAACAGCACGGGAGCCAGGATGGAGACTCAGGAGCCATCTGACAGGCAGAAGAACCTCCTAGAGGTGGGTTCTAGACCCAGACCAAACAAAAATTGAGTAGGCAGCACAGGTGGAGGAGGGGCTTTCCAAATGTTGTGGAATCTCAGCAAGAATGCTGAGCCCAGCTACAGGCAAGCTAGAGAGCAGGCTTCCAGCACCCAGACATCTGTCTGGAGCAAGCTGTCTCTGCCATTGGGGACTGACGTCCTAGGCTGGTCACCAGCAGGACTCAGCAGGAAGAGAAGCCAGAACTCAGAACCCAAGCAGCTGAGGAGGACTCAGCAACCAGCCCCAGGGCACCCTCAGCATCTCCCACCTCAGCCCAGGCCTGGGCTAGGAATTGGGTTCAGTTGAGCCAAAGGGGGAGGCAGCATGGAACAGCCCTGGCTGTGGAGAAAGGAAGGGATGCAGGGTAGGGTTGACCCAGGTGCCCAAAGGCTTCTTCCTAGAGAGGAATGACTAGGTCCACTTCTTCTTTATTTGGCCAGGCACAGGCAAAGCCCCATCTCACTGATTTAGAGCTGGGAAAGCTCTTATCATGTCAGGGTTTCAATTCCCTGTCCAGATTTCCCAGGAGTGAACGAGAGAGCAGGAAGCCTGCAGGGCATGCTCGCCTCCTGTACACACTGAGGAGATGCAGGCTCAGCCCGGTGGCTCTAGGAGGTTCAGGTCTCTGGCTTCCTCCTCCCTGATCCACCCTCAGCCCAAACCCAGGCAGGCTGGAGACTGCAGCAGGCATGGGTCCTACAGCTGGGCTCCCTCCCTCCCCTGTGCCCAGCCAGAGCTGGTTTATTTGAAGGAAAATTTAAATATAAATATGCAACATCCCTTCCCCTCTCCTTCCACTCAGCAGGAGGGAGCGTGTGTCAGCTGCAGCAAGAGTTCCCTGTGTGTTGAGAGATCCTATCTACATGGAGGAGAGCAGAAATATTAGACACAGCTAAATAAGAAAACATAGATTATTGCTGGAGACCCCTAAGGCCTACTTTGTCTGTGCAATAGTTTGTTTTACTTTTCACAGAATTTATTTTGGCTGCAGCCAGATTGATGGTGATTATATCTGAAATCCCTCCCACATATCTGTCACATAAACACTTCATTTAATTCAGGTTTGTAAAAATCTATGGGCCAACGGGGAGCCGGCTTGTGGATTAATTAGCAGACGCTAATGCTGGGCATCTTGTCACGGGGGTCTGACCTGGCCCCTTTCTCAGGAGTTTGATCCTCTGGGCTGGACAAGGAAAACTAAGGACGACCTAGATGGGGGAGAACGCTGGTCACTGTCAAGCCCGGCTGGGGAAATGGATTCCAGGCTATGGAGTGGGCCAAAGTCACCCATCCGGGCCCGGCCAGAGTGGAGGATATTCAGAGGTGTTTTGAAGTTGATACAAAATAAACCTTCAGCTTCCTCAGAGTTTCTGTTGATAGCATCACTGGGTCCGACACCTCCTGGGAAGGGGAAGGGCCTTGGGAGCCAGGGCTGGGGAGCAAGGCCCCTAATCAACCAGCTGAGTGGGGACACAGGGTCCGGAGCCTTGGCAATGATGACTCTGATTCCTGAGACCCTCAGATCTCCTGCTTCCCAGAGGCTGCCCTGGCCTGCCAGCGCCAGGCAGGATTTCCTAGTGTCTGATGGGAGCGTGCCCCTAATAGGCTGCATATGCCCGCCAGCTGTTGCTCCCCTCCTGCCACCGCGGGCCAAGACAAGAAAAGCATTATTTCCTGCAGCTTTCTAATCTCTAGGCCTCCTGACTCCACAGGCTTGCCTTGGCCATTGCTAACCTGGGGCTTCTCTGGGGCTAGATCCTCTTTGCTCAGAAAGGGCTCTTTTCTTACCCCAACCCACTCCTCTTCCCCTTCAGCATGGCATTCCTCAACCAAGGTGCTGTGGCTGAGAACATGTGGAACCTCAGTGGAGACATTTGGTTCTTAGGGTCTTGCTTACATCCCTGCTGCTTTGGGAGAGACTGTTCCATCTGCACAAATGCTCCCAAGCCTGGGAGAATTTGTTAGCCCAAGAATAAATGTTTTTGAGCACCAAGATCTCCAGAGTTTACACATACATGAACACATCATCCCAGCCGAAGAAGTATTTTTGAGCCCATTTCATAGATGAGGATGAAATAAGTTGCAGACGGTGAACCAGCCAAGAAGTGACTGAGGGCACCAGGCCCCCCTCTGCCGGAACCCACACTCCAATACCACCCTGTGCTTTCCAAGGAGGGGTACTGGCGCTGGAAGCCAGAATGCTCTACTCTTGTCTCTGCTCTGCCATTAAGGAGGAGGACCCGCATCGAGCCCCAACCCTCCCCAGGCCTGTTTCCTTATGTGTAAAGGAGGAGTGGGCAGCACCCCCGGGGCCCCGTCTCCCAGGGCTGCCTGCCTTGATTTCACCTCCACATAACCACAAGAACTGGGCCATCCCCAGCCGCTCAACCTGCAGAGGGACCGGAGGCCAAAACCCAGCTCCAGCCATATCCAGTTACTAACCAAACACTCGTCTTTCTTTCCGACTGAAACTGAACGTGCCTGTCTGTCGCTTTGGGTTCTTGACCAAGAAAGCTAATTTTTAACCCTTTCACAGCAGCTATTTTTTTCCACAGCACATAAAACACAAGGCACTGATCTGTCAGACATGACTGCATGCAGAACTCAGCTGTGGATGTTCTTTAAAGGAGAGAGAGCTGGAGGAGCCCATGGATACACCATTTGGGGCTTAGCCCGTCCTAATTTCTCACTCCTGTGCCTTTTTGTAAATGTCACTTTGGAAGCGCGATTATTTTGCCCTCCTTTTAAAAACAAGGGATGTGATTATTTAGAGCGCAGGAAAGGAGAGGCTGGTTTGGAGTGGGGAGGAAGGGTAAGACAGGAGCCTGGATCAGGGGTGGCACTTTGGTACAGACATGTGGGTTCACAAAGGTGGAGCTGGGGAGGGCCGTGGTTCCTGGAAGTCCCCACCTGATCAAGATGTCCCACATCTGTGGGGCGTTCCCATGGAAACACTTCTCAGGGCCTCTTGCCCACCAACTCCTTATGCCTCAGGACAGGACTGGATTCAAGTTTTGTCTCTCTGCAGTGATTTCTAACGGCTTCTGGATTTGTAAAGCTCCAGCCCCAGCACCCAAACCAAACAAACAAAAACAAAACAAAACAAAGCAACCTCAGGGAACATGATTGTGGAAAGAGTGAGAATCAAAATTCCAAAATTCTTGGGTTCACCCCGGGATTAA